GCTGGTTTGCGCTCGGGAACACGTACGCTCCTAGCACCTTCCCCCTTAGGTCGTTCGATTTATTATCTCCGTCTTGAATCAAGCTCCAACAGAATTACTGGCTTACGCGTACGGCTGGATTTGCGTTTTTGCTGGGGCATGTTATCTGTCGTCAGGTCTAGGTTACGTGCCATTCCCCTTTCAGTAAGCCTTTCCATTTCGAACGCCTCCCATAGAAGCTCAAGACTAAGGGATCCATCGCCGCTCTGTGGATCGCGGCAAAATGCTCGACGGAGTTGCTTAACGTGGCACCTCCACAGCAACGGACCCACCTAGATGTCGTACAAGACATCCAGCCGACAGCCCACTTTTGATGACCACAGCGATAGTTTCGAACTAACACACGACCTCCTGGTCGCAACGTACGCTTTACTTGCATCACAACCGACTGCTGGCCCAATGCTGGTCTACAACATCGTGTGGCATACGTAATTTTCGGTTCCTCAGTGCTTCGGCGGTGGTACAGCCGTTCGGACTTTTCGGATTTGCAATGATTCTGTAGGTTTGCAGGGATGTATTCAGTATTCTCGCTGTCGTTGCCTCCCCCTGAATTTCCGTAGGGCATTTGTCCCAGGTAGATTCGACTCCCTCAGAATATGAATAGGAGTTGATGAACACAACTTATTGATGGGCATGTAAAGTTCCAAACGATCAATCCAGTCCATACCAAGAATGTTGAGTTGACAACCAACTATGTAAATGGAACCATGATCGCGCTTGTCTGAAATTGCCAACTCACCATCAAATTCATCAAGCAATTTGCTTTTACCGCCGGATGCATTTCTGGCTGTATTGTTATTTCTGACAATATCCTAGCGAACCCAGTTTCTTCCAGATACTTTTCGACACGATCGTTATATCGGACGCCTTATCAAATTGTAAACGAACTGTTCTTCCGTTTATTATCGCAACCACGTACTTGCGGTAGCGTTTAATTAGCGTCAGTTGTCGCAAGCACGGCCTTGCATTTGGGCTCGGTCCTATGTGAGCGACTGACCGATCGACGTTTTTGGCTAGGTGTCCGGACTCGTTTCCTTGATCGGCATGATTTTCTTTGTGGCCGCGTCGGTTGCATACTGAGCATCTGTGCTTCTTATAGGGGCAGAACTTTAGGAAATGCCACTCGCCACACTGCCAGCACGCGGATGATGGTTTCGCTACTACAGTCGCTGCAATTTCGGTGGGTTGTTTTAAGCATGTCTTTGTGACATTAAAAGTGGAGTTGGATGATGAACGCTCCAGCATGGCTGTATCGTGTTTGAGGTTTACAAAACGCTGACACTCTTGCGTTATTTGCGGTAGCCTGATATCTGGGGACAGATCAATACTGCTTAATAACCTGATCCTGATATCACTGTCGGAGTGTGACCCGAGAACGCAAATGAACTGATCTGTCATAGTAGACAGTTTGAATTGTTCGCACTCGAAATTGACTTTACCAGCGTATATGATGAAATCTTCACCATCCTGTTTGGCAAGTTTCATGCATTGGTATCGGGTATTAAACAAGGAAGAACGTTCACCGAAAATTTCCGATAGCTGGCGTACGGTTTCGTCAAAAGTGAGATCCCTGATGTTCCTTGGCAGGACAAAATTTGTATATCGTGTATGCTCAGTTGTACCAAGCTTCCTCAGCAACAGCCTGACTCGCCATGCATCGTCTTTGTGCTTCAGTTCGATTTTGAAAATGTCCTCATATCGTTTGAACCACGATTCAAAAATCAGCCGAACATCAGGTTCATAGTGGAACTCCGTGATGCTGTTTGCAATTGTTTTGGCTGCATTTTCTTCAGACAGGAATTGATGATTTAATGCTGAATTACCGCATCAAACTTTCCATTATTCACATCTGGGCCGCTTCGAACTGCGTTTGCTGTTCGTGCAGGATTGACTTTAATTCCTCTGCAGTTATCGACATGTTGCGTCAGTTGCCGTCGCCAAATCTGTTGTGTCAGATACTGCTAGAGTAGAGCGTAGGTCAATCCCCAGCAATGAAGCAAGAGCATGGCGAATACACGAAAAACCGGCGTTTATTCTGAGCACAGAATGTGAACCAACGCGGGTGAATTATTCACAGTGTGCGGCTTGCACTAGCCGAATGCGCGTTCGCTCATGGGTCCTGATTCCAAGTCAACGCTCGTCTGTTGATCGATATCTTTCCGGTGCGTTAAGCATAAGCCGGGTTGACTTTGGGCTCAGCTCCTTCGGGCTTTCGGGGCAGCTGGTTGAGTGAGTGCAATTCACCTGCTCCGCTAGTTTGCGCTCGAGAAAACTTACACACCTAGCAGTTAATTTCACCATCAATCTCAGACACCATCAAGCGAACCCTGCTCTAGTTGCTGGTCGACCGCCTCATTTCACTGCCATATCTTAGATCATTGGATCAGCGGCCACAATTTGCCTCGGGCGCTGAACCACACTTGATGAATCACTTTAAGTGTGCATGCAGTTTTGCTTACTTTGCTACATCGGATAAAATTTCCACTACTGCTCACCAGACCTCGAAGTTCGTGAGTTCAGATTAGATCAGCTTCCTGAACAGGAGCATTCATAATTGTCTTTTTTCATCCGCCATCTCGACGAGACTGGACGTTAACGTACTATGTTGGTTTGAGTTCTACCGTGACCAATTGAGCTGTGCTGAGTGGCACTTTTTAATGGTATTGGGTCACACTAACACAGTTTCACAATCAAATCCTTTTCGGAGGTTAGGCAGAGGGCGATGAGTCCCTTTCTTTAATAACTGGCCATAGGAGACAACAGCTCTATGGGTTATTGGCTGACAGATAGATTGGCATTGTGCACGGGCGCTACGCATTGTATCTGACGATGGGAGGGTACCTTCCGGTGCTTACTGGTTTGCTACCGCTCGCGTCGAGCCAGGCAGCCCCTGGTCACGTTGGTCAAACCCGCCAACTTCCACCTGCGACTGACCTTGGTCGCAGGTGCGTACCGTAATGCAGTCTTGAAACACACCTGCATTGTTTTAAATCTATAAAGGCCGTGTGTGACAGGCCTCAAGCAAATCCCAACGGGTGCATGTAATCAAACTTCCGCGCTGGACTTGTTCCGTACTACCTTGTGGATCAGGCTAGAGCTACGGCACCTTGAACAAAACCACTCTTTCGGAATGAGCAGCCGAACAGTATCATCTGCTCTTTCGACCCTGTCGACAATACTCCCATTTCTTTTTTTGCCCCCCCCCCTCTGAATTCTCTTCTTCCCCGTTTATTGAGCAAAAATCTGCAGCTGACCTCGGTGATGCTGCCAGTGTTACTTGAAACTCGTCCATCAAACCACGAGTCCGCACTTTAGGTCAGATCGTCCAGTAGGCTGCAGTGACTCACTCTTCACTCTCTTGGTATTGATGTGTGTTGTGTCTCCGAAACACCTATACAAGTTGACAACGTTGTGACGAGTCTGATTCTCCTGGTTCTGGATCTACTGACAGTGACTACACTTTTCGCATCTCTCGAGATACTGAGTCAATGAAGTAGGGTATTTGCAGTCTTGGTATCGCCCCGAGTCGTGCCTGAAAGGCCTAACTCAGAAGCAGGGTAATATAAGTGTTTTGCGCCCTTTAGGAGCCAGTTACTTAAGACTCAGTTCATACACCTGTCGGAGGCCGGAAATCCATACCAGTTGCTCAACACTCGAAGTCAGAGGCAAAATCAAGTGCTCGTATTGCTTGCCGGTGTACAATGACTTCATTTAGTGGCGAATTTCATCCGCCACGTTGCGGTTTTGTTAAACAGACATTTGTAGCCTTTTCTTGGAAAAACGCTTGCCGAGCAAAAGCCCCTCACCTAGCGGAACATTGCCGCCGAAGCATCCACTGGAACTGGAAATTCCCGAGAGGCCCAACTAGCACCACGGGAAGTTGTTCAGCATGCAAGCCAGTCGAGCCGCTGACCTGGTCCAGACCGTATTATTGATCCGAATACTTTCGTAGGCCTTTTGAGGAGACCAATAAGATATCGTGGTCTATTCTTTGCAAACTCATTATCACTCCTGGATATCTTTCCAGCCGTGGATGTTTCGAACCATGGCGTTGAATCAGCCACTGCTTGTTAGTACGCACATGGTCCAGCTAGTGCAACACTCCTCCCATAAAAGGTATCAGCAGTACGGTGGTGCGCCGTACCGACACTTTTTTGCCTCGCAACCACCACCAGTCGTGCGTGGGCTAAGGATACTGCGAGGGTCGCCTGCTCTCCTATGCAAGCATGAGCCGTAATCTCCTGGTTGGAAAGCAGACTTCTTGCCCTTTCAGCCACGGGACGGCTGTTATCACTGATAGAACTACGCTGCGTCATTTGAAAGGATTGCAGTGACAAAGTATTCCGCAAGATGTGTTCTACCCACCACAGTTGTAGTTGACGGCATTTCCTTCAACGCCATACATCAATGGGCCTAGTACACAGGTTACGAAATCGATCTACAGCCCTACTTTGTTAATACTTATTGAACACCCCTTCGCGAAATACATTAGCCAAGCTGGTGCACTATCGGCTTCTAATTACCCAGTGACTTTAATCGCAGCGACCACTTGAGAATTCCTCGTAATTTAGCACTAATAGAAGTCCTTCAGCATCGGGTGGTATACTACGCACCAGCGCGAGGTCCCAGCCTGCGCTGCTTTATCCATTTTTAGCATGCTCGGTTTGTCTACTGAATAGCGTTACCGGCAAACTGCACACGCTTGCTTCTCAAGCCAACGGGCCTCATTTACTTTAGGCACTGAGCTTAGTTGACAAATAAGCTGTACTGACTTAGTTTTGCTTGTCATTTATCTTTATGAAGTGCTGCATTTTGGGCACAAGAGCTCCACATTTTTCTGTTGTCACTTATGCTCGCGTATCCGATTTTCGCCTGAATCTTTGATCTCTTTTGGTACGCCGGCTTAAGCTTTATTTTCACTTTTCGAACTTTTTCCCCTCCAGGCTCACAACGCTCGTCTTATGGCCGACAAGGAAGCCACTGCTTGGGCGACTTCTAAGCTTCGTCTTCTACAAGCTGCTCAGGGGGACACGTCCTCTGATCTCGACTCCAACGAACACCACGACCAGCGTTCCGTCCTTAACTTGATTGTTGAAGAGGTTGATGGCTTCCGTGAGTTGGTGGAAAAGTACACTATCGAAAATGAAGAGCTTCGGTGAGTCTCGTTCACCTGGTTTTCATGCATTAGACTCCCCTTGTTTTCTTTTCTTTCTCTTGGTTATTCTGCTGTTTGGCCCCTGACATGGCTTATCGTCATCCGAAAGGCGTATGAACTGAGTGTCCAGTCACCGGCTCCTAAGGGGTGCGAATCCCTCATCTCGCCCTGCTGCCTTGTGGGTTAGGCCCTTTGACCAAAGGCTCGGGGCAGTGGTCCCCTAAGACAACCTACCTACCTCGGCCTAGGCAACCGGGTTCTATCCCGCCTACTGACGAACCATGGACTTACAACCACAACCATTCACCCGCTGTCTTGCTGCTTCGATGCTATTCATCCATGCCACTATGCCAACTTCACAAGCACACGCCAGCATTTTACCTACCCTTCCCTTGTACCATTCACACCCATTTTTAACTGATTCCTCTTTGGCGATCAACCCCACCTCCACCGATAAGCCTGTTCCCGTGATCTCTGCCAACTCAACCACACAGTGCTCAACAGAGAGCTGTCAGCCCCGAAGTCTCCCATCTTCCCTCCTGCAACCCGGAACGCAGTTCAAACTTGCAGCCTTCAACGTATGCACATTACTGCAGATCGGTCAGCAAGCTGGACTTGCACGCACGCTAGAGACCCTTTGAATTGATATCTGCTGCCTGAGTGCAACGCGACTCCAGGACTCTAACTCGGTCTACCGGCTGGCGTCACTGCTCCACCCATGCACCCGCTTCCATCTCCGCCTCTTTGGTGACGCCGAGTCTGTCGCATCTGGGCAAGCTGGTGTTGGAACCACCCTCTGTGCTAGAACTGAAGCTGCTCTGACTGGTTGGACTCCGATCAATAGTCGCCTTTGTGTGATGAGGCTCCATGGCTCTTGTAAAGTTAGCAGACGTCGAGTTGAAAAGCGTGCTCTCTTGGTGATCTCTGCCTACGCGCCCACTGACTGTAGCTCGGACACAGTCAAGGACCAGTTCTACCAGAACCTTCATGAGTTGCTTCTAAGGGCTCCTAAAACAGACGGCTGATGCCATGTGCGCGCCACCTCGGGGGACCGCATGGATATGATGATGTTCGCTCCGTCTGTGTGCTCATCATCAGCTTTTTTTCTCCAGCACGAGCTTTCGTCATCCTGGATGCCAGTACGCCACTTCGCGCCTTCCATCATCAACCCAGCGCTGGTCACAGATTGGCCACATAGCCATAAGTCACAGGTGGCGCGGCAGCGTACGCGACTGCCGATCACTTTGGTCAAGATGCATCGATACCGTTCACGCACTGGTATGTGCACCGTTTGCGCATGCTTTTCGGTGGTTCACCTAGGTCCAAACACACCCGACTGAGCACCTAAAAGTTGGAGAATCCAATGGTGAAGAAGGAGTATCAACAAAGGCTTCGTGAAAATCTCACTCTCTCTCCCACTCAGGATGTTAATCAACACTGGTCAAGTCTGCAACAAGCCATGCTGTCGGCCGGTTTGTCCTGCTGCGGCCTCCCTGGCTCCACTCCCAAAAGCTGGATCTCGGGAAGATGCTCAGAATTGCTGGATCACCGACCGGAGGTGCCTGTTGCCGCAGAGCACAACGAACACCGCCGGTCTATTACGCAACAGCTTAAAATAAACTTTCGCTGTGATCGTGAATCCTGTTGGTCAAAGCAAGCTGATGAATTGGAAGCCGCTGCATCAACTGGCAACTTCCACCGTCTATTTTGCACCATTAGGGCCACCGGTTGCAATTCCCACGCTATCAGCCAGACGATTTGCGAATCAGATGGGATGAAGATCACCAATCTTCACAGGCGATTGGGTCGCTGGGCAGAGCGTTTCGCTCTTCAATCCAACCACCCAACACAGCCCCCTGTGGCACCTCCAGCCCCAACTTATGATGCTTGGCCTGTCTCCACAGGCCCTTCAACTGAAGCAGTGGTCCGAGATGCAATCCAATGTTTGAAACGCCACAAGGCTCCTGGTCCCGACTGCCTACCACCGGCTCTATTCAAAGGTGGCGGGAGTGTACTCTTCAGCGAAATCTTATCGCCGTTCACGAAAGTTTGGCCTGAGGAGAAGGTTCCGAACTCATGGGGAGAATCGGTCGTTGTTCCGATTCACAAGAGAGGCTCCCGCGACGATTGCTGCAACCAACGCGGAATCTCGTTGATCTCTGTCGCATCCAAAATCTTTGTGTCTATCCTACTTCGCGAACTTTTAACGACTAGAGAGGAGTTTTCCCGAGAAGAACAAGTCGGATATTGTCCAGGCCGCTCCGCCAACTTCTCGAACTCCGTCACATCCACCGGCGGCCAACAATCGTAGTGTTCTTGGACATCCGAGCGACATTTGATTCGGTAGATAGATCTGCGTTGTGTAACTGTTTACTGAAGAAAGGTGTGCCCGACAATTTTGTAGCCATTCTGAACGAACTTTACAGTCACCTAGGGCAAACTCAGAGCTTATGGCACGCTCTCTTCTTCGTTTGCTGTAACCTGCGGTGTTCGCCAAGGTTGCCCTATTTCACCTTTCCTCTTTAATTTTGCCATCGAAGATGTCGTCCAATGAACACTGGAAGGTGTTCAGAACTGCGGTGTTAAGCTTCTCCCTGGAGACAGAGTCACGGACTTGGACTACGCCTATGATATCGCCTTGCTGGGGGACGACCCACGAACCGTCCAGAGTGCTTTGGACCGCTTAGCGATGGAGGCGTCTAAGTACGGCTTATGCTTCATTCCGGAAAAATGTAAAACGCTGCTTCAGGACTGGCAGGTACCTTAACCTGCGCTCACCATTGCTGGACATGTTCTGGAGCAAGTCCCTTGCTTTACTTATCTAGGGAGTTGCATCACGGCTGGTTGCGGTGTTAGAGATGAAGTCTCACAACGGATTGCAAAGGCCCGCCTTGCATTTATCAAACTGAGACACCTATGGCGTCGTCGTGATGTCAGTCTCTAGCTCTGGGGCAGGGTGTGCAATACTTCCGTCCGTGCAGTACTCTTGTACGGCTGTGCGACTTGGCCTATTCGCTCGGAAGAGATGAAGCGGTTGTCAGTCTTTGACAATCGCTGTCTACGAAGGATTGCTCGGGTGTGATAACAATACCATGTAAGCAACGCAGAGGTCCGAGACCGAGTGCTTGTAGTGAGTAGTGCCAGTCTTCAGAACGTGATTCTCCGACATCGTATGCGTTGGCTCGGGCACCTTTTGCACATGCCAGCCCGTTGCCTTCCACGTCGAGCGTTATTTTCACTCCCAGGGAGCGATTGGAAAAAGTGCCGCGGTGGACAGCCAATGACGTGGAAAAGGAGCATGAAGAAGGCAACTTCAACTAGCGGCAGTCGAACCAGTCCGTCTTCCAGGTTGGGGACCACGCGATGTTGAATTTCAGTGGTTAGAAACGTTGGATGTCATGGCCCGCAACAGACATCAGTGTCGTCAATGTTGTTCTGCCATTGTATTCCCACTTTAATGTACACGAAAAACTCACGAAACCAAAACAAAAAACCCAAAAGGGCGTGTGTAAAACCAAAAAATCGTTTTCCTTTTTCCTCGCATTACGTGTTTCTCTTTATTTTTTCTTCTGCCATGGCTCTGATGGCACAATATCTATTAACAGACTGTGAATATATATATATATATATATATATATATATATATATATATATATTGCGTTCATGATGCTTCTTCACCGCAGTTGGGCTAAACCAACTTGCACTTAAACTAGGTCTTTTATGCTAGTTAAATTAATTCCACTTTAAGTGTGGTTCATCGCAGCCAGTTTCCAAATCAGATAGTCGTCCACATGCCCAGAAAAGCACTAGACTGCAGTTTCAGCCTGTTGCGCATCGTCAATGGTGCGCATCCATCGTATCCATCAAAATTCGAACCCATGACCACCAGCGGCTTGAACGCTCAGTCATTCCACTTTATTTGGTTTGTTCTGGCTTCCTGAATAATCTATGAACTGGCCACGTTGCTTACGCTAATCGTGGTTATCTTCGTTAACTTTGTTGCGTTTGTGGCATTTTTGAATAACTTCTGGACAGTTTGTGCTTATCGCGGATTCGTTGCCAACCAACTTCATGTCGGCATAACCGTATGTTTTAACAGATATATTTTATTTAATAATGTCATTTCAAATGATTGGTTGTTTGACATCCGCGGTGTGGCTGCGCTTGATATGCTTGTTGATAAGGTGTCTACCTGTCTATTACCTCGTCTGTACTGACTTCAGGAGACAGTTGGTCGTTGCTGGAAGGGAGGAGGAGGGGTGCACGATCCTTGTGGCCGTGCTAGGCTCAAAGAGTGGTTCCATGCACTCAGTGTGGAACGGACCACGGTCCAGCCACCGCCTTGTGTGCGATTGATTCCCAAATACGGCATGCTTGTGCTTGCCCGTGTAGGAGTGTGGGCCGGCTCCGTTGATGAAATGTGGCTCCCATCCACATGCCTCCCGGTCTTATTCCTTCGAGTTTACACTAGATACAGGGTGTGTGGTTAGAGCTGTGGGTGGTACAGCGCAAGCCACCTGTGGCTAGCCACAGTGACAGGCACATCCGAAACCGGATACCGCCAACCATAATTGTGCGTGTGTAACTGTGTAGTTTGTGCTTGTGTGCCCCATGCTGAGGCAGATGTTGCATTCTTGATGCTTCTTCACCGCAGTTGGGCCAAGCCAACTTACACTTAAACTAGGTCTTTTAAGCTGGATAAATTTCATTCCACTTTATTTGGTTTGTTCTGCCTACCTGAATAATCTTCTATTAATTGGCCACGTTGCTTACGCTAACTGCGCTTATCTTCGGTAACTTTGTTACGTTTGCAGCATGTTTAAGTAACTTGTGGACATATTTTGCTTATCGCGGATTCGTTGCTAACCAACTTACTTCATATGCTAATTTAGCAAAGAGTTATGCCACCGTATCTGTATGCATTATTGGATTTATTTTATTTCATCTTGTCGTTTCAGGTGAATGGCTGTTGCTTGATATCCCCGGTGTGGCTGCGCTTGATGTGCATGTTGACAAGGTGCCTACCTGTCTATTACCCACTACATCGTTCATACTGGCTCCAGGAGACAGTTGGTCGTTGCTGGAGGGTACGGGGTGCACGGTCCTTGTGGCCGTGTTAGGCTCGAAGAGTGGTTCCATGCACTCAGTGTGGAGCGGACTACGGTCCAGCCACCGCCTTGTGTGCGGTTGATTCCCAAATACAGCGTGCTTGTGTATGCCTGTGAAGAAGTGTGATCCGTCTGCATTGCTGAAACGTGGTTCCCATCCACATGCCTCCCGGTCTTATTCCTTCGGGTTTACACTGGATATGGGGTGTGTGGTTGGAGCTGTGGGTGGTGCAGCGCAAGCCACCCATTGTCCCTCTGTAGGCGCAGGCGTCCTGTGTCTGGCCACAGTGACAGGCAAATCCGAAACCGGATGCCGCCAACCAAATATATATATATATATATGCTCATATATCAATTTATTAATATCACTTGTTCTCTCAGCTTGCTACCACATTCCATATCATTTTAGCCTGAAATATAACTTTGATTCTTACCTACGGTTGGTGAATACTCGGTCACCGTGTTGTCTTCCGTCAAATTGCTGATGACTTACACAGGAGGATATTAAGTATCTAAAATCTGCTCACTAATTAAATTCCCTTGGTAGAATGAGCACTGTGACGTTTCGTACAGTGCGGTTTTTTATTCAGCTCAATCCCATTGCTCTGCTGCTGTTTATATTCATTCTTCTCTTGGATTGTGCTCCCTGACTATATGTTGGCCAGCGTTCATTCACCTATGCTCATATGAGATCGTCAGATCCGCACACAGTTGCGGTCAGTCGTTGTTGTTTTCATGCATATTCACATTTTCCATGGTGATGTCATTTGATCCCACACCTTCGGATCACTATGCATCGTATGCTGCGTATAATTCCTCCTTCTCTTCCAGAGGTCTACCACGGACCACTCTCTGGCCATATGTTAAACATTGACCTTCGTCGCCAAATCTGTGGTTGTGACGCTCGAGTAATCCACTCTTCACCGTTATCTATTGTTTCATTCTTAGCACGAAGCTGGCTGAGGCCGAAGCTCTCGCCGAATTTGGTCAACGTCCGTTCACTCTCGCCTCCCCATGCCATCCGTCACGCTGTCCGGGTGCCTCATCTAGCTCCAATCGCGTTGCGCTGACTAACGGTGAGTTTCCGGACCTCGACACAAGCATGGTGGCTGCTGCCGAGGCTGGTTTGTCTGCGGCTAATCTCTATTTGGATGAAGATGTGGAAACGGAACTGTTTGTGCCAAAAATACAAAGACGGCACCGCCGAAAGCATCGGAAAGCGAAGTCAGAAAATGTGGAGAATAACATTCCAGATTGGAATCGCCAGCCAATAAACGACGTCACACCGGACGAGTTACCTACGGAGGCATGGCCATTAGAAGTTGGAAAGAATAAAAAACAACGTTTGACTCCAACGAAATGTATGTTGCAGCAGTCTGTTGTACCTTCACACAGTGTTTCCTTTTGTCTTCCCTGTTATTTTACAGTACTCATTCGAGCAATTATGAACTCTTGCTTTCACTCACTTGATAACATAGCTCGACTCTTGCTCCTCTCTGCGGCACTAAACTGGAAGTGGTGAGAATTAAATGCTTATTCGAGCCTTGTGCAGATGGTTTTGTTCCGTCGGTATTCTATGGTAGCGCATATCTTTCATTGGTAAAAATTTGCGCCACGTTTCTCCACAATCTCACGTTGCAGTTTTTTATTTCGCATTCACTGAACGGACAATCCTATCTGTTCCATTGCTTTTGCTCTTATCTTACACTTGTGATAATTTTGAATATCCATTTTCTCACTGCCTGGTTCGGAATTTGTTCCTAATTTAAGCGCATCTTATTCTGCTCTGGCCTCGAAAATATCGGGATTCCACCCCACCACCTGTGACTTAGTGTCACCTTCCCGGTGAGCGGTTTAGTGATGCTGTACTCTGCTTGACTATGGTTACCACACATAATCTCACTAGCTGTTTCATTTGAAGCGTTTACCATTTGTTCTTGTTCGATAAACATTTGAATCCTAGTACGGTATTACAATATCGATGGTAAAATTAAAGGTCCTTAGAGGTGACTTGTCTAACCAATCGGATTCTCGGATATTATACTATACTATGGGGGGGTTGGTCTGTGTACCTCGACTTTGGCCCTAAGAGACGGTTTTTCCTAAGCCCCTAGAAGCACCGATCGGAAGTCAGCGTCAGCTTCAGCATCCTGTTCATCCGAGATTGAAGATATCGATGTCCCTATTTCATAAATACGGCCATGGGAGGGCGGCAGTTTGTATGTCCAAAGCTCAGTTCGATTGGCGTTAAACACGAACTCCACGTGTGGGAGAGAACGCTCATTGCCCACCCATCCACTGCCGCTCGAGACAGACCCTTGGAATATTGTTTGACCAACTATTTGCACATGAACTCACATTCATAAACGGTTAACCATGTTAATTATTCTAGACATTTCTTTACTGTCTGCTGCCTGCCTCCAGCGGATTTTCATGAGGCTCCTGAGCCACTTTGTAGTATGTCGAATCCCTCTCTCTGAGTGGGTGACCGGATAGGGTTATCTGCCTACGAATTGCTGTCACCGACGCGCTTTCCTCCGTTTGCTCTGTTTCTCATTACTTTAAAACCACCTGGTCCCCTGCTAGACAGCACGAGCCCGCCGTTGACAACGCATTTGCTGTTAACGATATACCTAATTCGTCCTGCAGAATAAGCACGTTTCAGCGTTCACCCATCGTGTCGGATTTCGTCGACATTCGACACTAGCTCCCACTCTGCATTTTTCTGAACTAGACGTGCACGGATCATAATCGAGCAAGCGAAATGTAGTGTCGTTCAAGGTGATAGGAACACCGGGCAACCCATATGGATAGGCGGACTGCTTTCGGCGTTTATTGTAATGCACTGAAAGCGATTAGGAGGAACATACTATTAACTCCTCGTGTGACAGCGGACGAGTTCACTCCTCTTGATATCACGGACACAGAAGAGGAACAGAAATCCTTGATGTGAAATGCATCGTTGCGGCTGGGATTGGGAGCGCACTAACTCAGCTAATAAGCTTGCACTAACGTGCAGAGTAGTCAAATCGAAACTTGAATGCCATATCGCAGGAGAATGGAAGTTAAGGCACAAATCTTAGTGTTGGAGAAGCCAGCATTTCAAATGGACAGTACGAAAATGGTTGGTGTTGGCCCCGGATATTTGCAAGGGGGTATTCAGAGTTTGACAGGTGTAACCCATGAATGTTCATTCCTTCCGTGAAAATCCCGACATCAACGAAGTCGGTCATTCTAATGGGTGACATAAACCGTGGTATAATTTGGCGTTGACGGTCTCGGAGATTCAGACACCCGGACTTTGGAAAGGCATCTTGTCATCAGATACTGCATGCTATTTATTGTGGACAGTCGAGCCGGAAGCATGCATAGGCGATATTAACTTGGGTCTAGAGAAGTGAGCTATTTTCAGCGACTTCCACAGTTGGAACACCGATAATGCAAACACCCAACTCCCTACATTTAGTAACGCCAGAATATAGATAGTAACACAATTTAACTTGATAATCGAAAATTGGTGAAAATGATACTGCGTGGAGTGTTCAGGGAACACAAAACACGTCTAGTTCAAAAGAATGCAGAGTGGGAGCTAGTGTCGAATGTCGACGAAATCCGACACGATGGGTGAACGCTGAAACGTGCTTATTCTGCAGGACGAATTAGGTATATCGTTAACAGCAAATGCGTTGTCAGCGGCGGGCTCGTGCTGTCTAGCAGGGGACCAGGTGGTTTTAAAGTAATGAGAAACAGAGCAAACGGAGGAAAGCGCGTCGGTGACAGCAATTCGTAGGCAGATAACCCTATCCGGTCACCCACTCAGAGAGAGGGATTCGACATACTACAAAGTGGCTCAGGAGCCTCATGAAAATCCGCTGGAGGCAGGCAGCAGACAGTAAAGAAATGTCTAGAATAATTAACATGGTTAACCGTTTATGAATGTGAGTTCATGTGCAAATTGTTGATCAAACGATACACCCAATTGTCTTGACTCGGCTTTTAAAATGATAATGATGTTGGTAATAATGACTAAATCAAAAGCAATGATTTAATCTAAAATTCCCTAACTGGAGCAGTTAAGAAACATGAATGAGGCGTAAATAAGAGCGCCATGGCGTTCGGGGACTTACCGTATCTAGCAAGGTATCTCACCAATGATGCTGGCGATCTCCAGGATGTTATCCGGGCACGTGACAAATACCAAGCCGACTCAGCGTTTCAGTGTGTTCTCATCTTTTGCAGTGTGATTAACTGGTCACCTCGAGTTTTCACCCGATCATTCTCAGTATTGAGAAACCGAGGTAGCATGTTTTCAGGCAGTTGGGTAACGCACATCCAACAAACTTGTCCTTGTAGCGCAGATTTGCACAGTCGATGCTATGCCTCACAAGTGTCGGTGATCAGACAGTCAACCTGCTGGTGTCCCCATCGGACATTAGTCGACTCCGCTATTAATACATTAACGCTATGGAAACTACCTTTTTGTAGATCCCTCACTTAACCACCGAGCTTACATTTGGTTGTTTTCACCAATTGAAGGGGCTTTCGAAGGCCACATGAACCTTGACAATGCGTAGAGTAATTTCTTCATTGTTGCGACCGGCAGAAGCATTACAGCTACCCAGCTAAGTGACACGCTCGGATGTTTTTTGATACTCACCTGCATCGAATGGGAGTGTTGCTGAGTGATGAGGATCCTGGTGGTGACAAATACTAGCACTTTGGTAACATTGGAGAGGTGTTACGATCACCGATCCACCTGAACATCATTGAGTAAGTCAATAGCTAAATAATAGGTGCCGTTGGTCCACTTTGAGATTTATCGCTTTAAACGTTAGTCCGAACATTTCAGTCAGCCATCGGTGTCGCCACTGCCTCCCAAATCATTGGAACCCTCACAAACCTTCGACACCACAGTTGTCAGCTTGAAAGAAATCAGGCGGGAGCTCGCATTATAGCAGTGAAGCGAGGTTTTCATACAATGTTGTCAAAGGGCGATGGTTGTCCACTGGTTGTTGATCTGGGTGCTCTATTCAGCTCTGCAGTTAGTCGAAACACTTCTTCATCTTCAATATAGTTATTCTTCACCATTACTTCTATATTTTCCGTAATCATGGGGCTACCGCAGCTCAGGGGTAGACGGAACCAGTTACAGATTAGCTGTCTGACGACGAGGAACCAAAAGTAGTTGACCAGCTTATCCATCTTGTCGGCTGTATTAAAAGCGATGAGCGTATGACTTTGAAACCTAAGATCGCCTTCTTGACCCTGCGACATACTTGGCGTCAGCATGGAGTTTTCCTCGGTCTGAAACGCAGTTTGTATCAGGCCATAATGAGATCTATCCTATTCTATCGGAGTAAGATTTGTATCATTCGGTTGGAGGATCTGAAGCGTCTACTTGTTTGATCATCCCTGACTGTGAAGCATTGCTGGTGTCGGATGGCACCAGCGTGTCCGCAACGACTATTTGCCTACGCGAGTACTAAGCGGAGATAGGTAGATTAGTCCTTTAGAACAACAAATCATCTCGAACAAATTTCATTGCTTTTGGCACGTGCTATGTATGCCTGGTCATCGCTTACCGAGGAGGGCCGGATGTTGGGTGCCTCAAGGCTCGAGGTTGGCAAAAGTTAAATTGGCAGCAGAATATGAAATCGCTGACGATTAAACCGTGTGTTGTTGGTCCATCTCGCTTTCCAGGCTGGAGTGTTTTCTCGTGAGCAGCCTTGTGCTTGGTTCGAGATGTTTCAGGAGATAGCTCGCAGGCGGCACCAGTGGCATGTCTGCTGTCGTCTCCTAGTCGGGCTGCTGCCTTAAGATGTATTTGGTGCTATCTGCTGCGTAATGGCTGGTTATGACGCGGTGCAGTGAAAGCTGTAATTATCCTGTGTCGCCGCCGTCTCCTCAGCTTACGCCTGCCGCGTATCAGAGACCCTATGTTGTTGGAAAAGTGTAGAGACCTTGACCCTATCTTGTTGCTTTGAGTTAAAATGTTTTATTCTTCTCATGGAAGCTTCAGATTATCCATCTATCTTTTTGGAGGCCTTCATCTATATGGCAAAGTTGCACATCTCCAGCGATTTTGCTTATAAACTGTTACTTTTTCGGCTTTTTCTGTTACTCTTTTCCTTTCCCAACTCTGTCTTGGTGGCATGTGCATTGGCAACCAGACGCATCTAGTTGGCCTTGTTGTAACGAAAATAACCGATTGCCTACCCCCAAACGTTTGTGGTTATGATGAGGCACCACCTAGACAGCTGCGCACTTTTTCTCTGTCTTTCCTTTTTATGTTCGTTTGCACTTTTTCTCTCTCTCTCCCAGTCAATGCACTAGGCAGTTTTTCGTCAGTTGAGCAGTCTGAAGAAGTGACCGAATCGGGAAGAGTGAGAGAGAATGCTGCTAGTTTCGACGAGGAGGCACCGGTCACAAATACTGAGACGGATGAATCATATAACGAGGTGTGTGCAGTTACACTTTTCGCCACAATTTATTTCATAATCTGCTCGTATCTGTTGTCTTTACTGCGCGCGAGCTTGGGTACTTCAACCATTGCGCAGGAGTAGTCGGAACCTTTATTTGCATCCTATTACCGTGCATTGGTAGCCACTTTGGGTAGAAACTGGCAACTTCGATAAGATCGTTGCTTGTATTTTTCGGAAGTATGCAAGGCAGGTGGGATGTCTTCTCCCTTCCATCTAACACGCCACCATGGCTTCTCACTTCCGATCATCCCGGCGCGAATTAACTTCATCTTACTCTATCCGGCATAATGCAGTGCCCAATCTTATTTGATATCACGTAACAGCCTGCTTGATATTGTGTGTCGGATCTCACTCGTCTGCGTTGCCTGTGGTTGACACACTTTCCTCTAAGCGCTTAGTTAGATTTAATTACACTACTTTCCCATGGACACACTCCGGCAATTCCCGAACTACTTGTCAAATCTCTGTACACATAAGTAGTCAAATATTGTCCCCAAGTTTTCACAACGCTGTGTGCATTCACGACCACTGGTAGGGAATTCCTGACACTTATCCTCTGCAAAGGTAATAACCTGCTTGGCAGTGGTAGATAGGTCAGACTTTGTCGCAGTTAGTTTTCAATCCATGATTGTCAGCTATCATCCCCCATGGCTCAGTGACGTAAGCTGTTGGTTAGTGGTACAAGCCCCTAGCGGTCATGGGTTCGGTTTCCTGAGGAGGACCGAGGGAATGCGCACCACGGACGAATCCCAAGAGGACGAAGCCGTCGCCTGCTGCTTTGCCGAATTGTTATTTGGCCTTCCCGGCTTGTAATCTAATTGTGTTACACTAAATACATTTCACTGAATCCATCTATACATCTCTAACTACCCTCTAATTGCGTACTAAACTTTGGTAGTCTGGTGAACTATTTTCCCCTGTTCGGTTTTACCAGTAGCAGCAGAGTTACCCTGTCGCCGTTTTGAGTTTTGTGGAGTACACCAAAGCAAACTTCCGTCACATTCTTTGCCACATAACGAAGTGTCATTGATTGATGTGGAGAATTCATTGTTGCAGTGACTTACCTGCGGCTGTATACCAGGTTGCAATGAGCCTGAATGTATAGCTGGTTAAATAAAGGCCGAGAATAACATAAAAACAAGTATTGTAACGGCGTACGCTAATGTTATCATTGAGGTTACGACTGGCGCTGAATAATTCGCTTTACGTTGTTCTCTTTCCTAACCAGGATGACAATGTGGCAACTGCCAATGATACCCTCCTACCAGACCCGGCAGGAGATGAAACTCTTACGCATACGCTCAGAGGAAATAGCGAACCGGGTTCCGGAAACGACACGTATTCCGATGCTTCCGAAGTCCGTTCTTCTTCATCCTCCGCTTCAGGTTAATGAACATTCTGTTTCTGTTTATTTTCCAATGCGGGTTCGATGCATTTCTCTTCGCCGTTCCCAAATGTTATCGTTCAAACCCACTTCTTCCTACCTTGTTAGCTGTCTGATGTTTCGTCTTTGCGTTCACCAATTGCCACCTCATTTGGCAGTAAAAGAATTGCTTCAGTTACTGGCGATATGCAGAAGTAGACTGCACGTATCATCCTGTCAGCCCCATAGACCTGCAAGGACCACTAGGCACACCACTCATCCACTCCGGTGACGCCTGCTCCGAGACTGCCGTATATCCATCTCAGCTGGCCCCTAGCTTCAAGGTAACGAGCTAGTATTTTAAGCTTACAGCGCAGGTTCGAACCTGCGTAGCAGCAGAGTGACCCTCACAGTATCCTTAGCCCATGTGCGACCGGTGGTGGTTGCGCGGCAGCGAAGCGTCGGTACTGCTTACCGACGTACTGTGGATACCAACGTTCGCGTCATTGGTTTGGGCTTTAGTTTCCACTAACATGCAAATCGAAGTTGGACCACCGAACTAGCGCAATTTCCGCAGGTACCCACTTTTTACTGCACTGAGGAAGACTTCTCATAATCTCGATTTTTCGAATACTCGTAATTATCACTGCCGCTTTTTGCTTGCCAAGCACTCGTCATATATATATATATATATATACATATATATAGCGCAGTTGGGCTAAACCAACTTACACTTAAACTAGGTCTTTTTAAGCTGGATGAATTTTATTCCACTTTATTTAGTTTGTTCTGCCTACCTGAATAATCTTCTATTCACTGGCCACGTTGCTTACGCTAATTGCGCTTATCTTCGGTAATTTTGTTGCGTTTGTAGCATTTTAAGTAACTTGTGGACATTTCTTACTTATCACGGATTTGTTGCTAACCAACTTACTTCATATGGTAATTTAGCAAAGAGTTATGCCACCGTATCTGTATGCATTATCCGATTTATTTTATTTCATCTGTCGTTGCAAGTGATGGGCTGTTGTTTGACATATCCGGTGTGGCTGCACTTGATGTGCATGTTGACAAACTGCCTACCTGTCTATTACTCACTACCTCGTCCATACTGGCTCCAGGAGACAGTTGGTCGTTGCTGGAGGGGACGGGGTGCGCGGTCCTTGTGGCCGTGCTGGGCTCAAAGAGCGGTTCCACGCACTCAGTGTGGAGCGGACTACGGTCCAGCCACCGCCTTGTGTGCGCTTGATTCCCATATATATATATATATATATATATATATATGTATATATATATATATATATATATATATATATATATGATAGACATCTTGCCATCGAAAATCACTGAATGTATGTGCATATCAAGCACAAAAATCACAAAGTGAAAAACAAGGAAAAGTTTTTTGTTTTTCACTTTTTTCTCATTTTGCTTATCAGTGGATTCGATGCGTAAACACAACTATAAGTTTTTTTGAACTCGAATCCTCGCTATGTCCTCTGCTCCCCGGAAGACGTACGGGACTGACGATACCCAAGCTGGAATACGGCGCTTTGACATTTTGTCGCATGTATTAGATTAACCCCACACAATTCTTTCCATTGCGGCCCTTGGAGAGCGCTTGAAGCGCGCCGTAGTAATCACTCGCACAGCATCGGCCATCTTAGTTGAGACAGTGGCATTAGTTTGTCATTGAAAACGTGGTGTTCCCACCACACGTGGAATCCTCCCTTGACAACCGTTGTAGACGGCCGAATTCCGAAGCATGTTATTCGCACGAATCTGCTAGGGCTCACTTCCGTACAATAGAATTATGCAGTCACTGGCATTGTAGATTCTTCTCTTTACCGAGAGGTAACGTCACCACGACGTGACAGGTACCCCAGAGTATCGACAGTTGACCGGGCTTAGGCAATGGAATAGAAATCCTCCTTCCAATGGGCCCATCATCATAAACGCAACCCTCAAACTAGATGAAGCTATCCAGTATTTTCATCTGCATGCCCTCAAGTGTCAACACTCGAGCAAGTGGATGCATTTCTTACTTAACAGCTTCAATCACCAAGCGGTTTAAAATGACCTGCATGATCTGGGAATCTTCGCAACGGTACTAAAGCGGAGCTTGAGTGCTGAGAAGGAAGCATGGTGGACTAGTCGGGCTCAAGAAATGAAGGAAGCAGGAGCAGTAGGCAATTATCAAAAGCTCTTCCAACTGATCTGCGCCACTGGTCCCAAAATACTAGGTGTCAGTGAAACAATCAGACAAGGCGGGTGCCATGATTCACAATAAGGCGCACTTTCAAGATCATTTCAGTTGGCCCCTTGCTCCTGGATCTGTTCCTGCGCAGCTACTGCAGACTGAAACATGGCTGGTTAGTTTAGAGGCTCTGTCGGAAGCTGAAGTCCAAAACGCGATCGCAACTCCCAATCCTTTTCATGCTACTGACCCGGATTCCCTCGCACCCGCAGTACTTAAGGACGGTGGTGAGGTTCTCTGCAAAGCACTGACCTTGTTTGAATAGGTCTAGAACGAAGAACCATCCCAGCTAACTGAGTGGATCAATTATAATGGTAATATACAGGAAAGCAGTCCCACCTACTGTGCCAACCACGGGGGTTTAGACTAACTCCAGTCCTGACAAAATTACTAGCCTCAATTCTTGTTCGTTCTCTCACTGCGGAACAGGAATCGTAGATTAGGAAAGAGCAGGCAGGCTTCTGTCCTGGACTTGGATGTATAGACCACATATTCACTCTGCACCAGATGCTAGAGCATCACCACGCTTACTGCAGACAGCTAATATCTGTCTGCAGAGCATTACTGGTGTCGGATGGCACCAGCTTGTCCGCAGCGATGATGTGCTAAACAGTGATAATCATGCTAATTCTTTAGAACAGCAGATAGCACTGAATAAGTTGTGTTGACTTAGGCACGTCCCCGGTCACCGCTTGCCGAGGAGAGCCTTGTTTTGTTTGCCTTATGTGGATTGGCGCAAACCCGAGGTGGGCACGAGTTAATTTCGCAACCGGAAGTGAAGTGACTGACTACAAAACTGTACCGTTGCTCCATCGCCTTCCTGGCTGGACTACACGTGACCCGCCTTCTGCTTGTCTCGAGATGTTCCGGGAGATGTTTCGCAGTCGACTCCAGTGGCGTTTCTGCTGTCGTCTCCTAGTCGGACTGCTTGTTTAAAGTGTGTTTGGTACTGAGTTCTCTGCGGGGTAATAAAAGCAGCAAGGAAGCTGTCTCGTCGATGCCGCCTTCACACGACAGCCAGCTGTTTGTGACGGCATGTTGTTGATAACGTGTAAGCGCCTTGCTCCTGAATGTTTGTTTAGAGCATTACAGTTCCACGCTAAGTCCCCACCTCTCGCTGCTATTATTTTTCGTTCCGTTTGTCGTTGTGGTTTTACAGCAGTGATGCATCAATTCGAATGGCTAAGCTACTGCGGTTGATGATTATTGGTGTCGTCACCGAGTAAGGAACTATCATCGGCGTAATCCAAGTCAGTCGCTCAGTTGCCTGGAAAAAGCTCTACGCCAGAACGCTGGATGCCTTCCAGAGCAGTCAGTAGTATATCCTCAGTCGCAAAATGAAAGCGAAACCTGGACGTGGCGCATCCATTTCGTACAGCACTAGTGACGGCGAAAGGTAAAGAGCGCCTACCGTAAGTTCTCAGTTTACCCGACGCGTTGCTCTTTGAAGATCAAAGGATAGCAGTGTACTTTTCGGGAACCACATTCTTTGGCAGAGGATGCCATAAAGCAAACCGATCAAACTCAGCTCGGATGTCTATAATGGAGACAGTGGTTGGCTGGAGATAAATGTGACACCGTTCGCGGAGTTGGCGGAGCGTAAACATGTAGTTTGCACACCTTTGACGAGGGCGGAAACCAGTCTGTTTTTATGGGAATATAGTTTTCGAATGCCTGCTGAGCTGAAGGATGCCCTTGTCCTACCAGTGCACAAGGGCAAAGGGAGCAAGCAATGTTGCACGAATTATCGTGGCATCAACTTGCTGAGTTGTGTGGGCAAGGTGATTGCCCAAATCCTGCTCAACCGCCTCGTCAGTCAGGTTGTGGAACCTAACGTGGCGGAAGAGCATTGTGTATTCCGCTCGGGTCGCAGCACTATAGATATGGTGTTTGCGGCTCGTCAGTTGCAGGAGAAGTGCAGAGAACGACACCAGCCATTGTACTCGCTTTTTGTTGATTTCACCAAGGCATTTGATACGGTGAACCGCGAGGCATTATGGCTGGTGTTGGGTAAGTTTGGTTGCCCGCGTAAGTTTGTAAGTTTAATTGGATGTCTGCACAGTGGTATGCGAGCGAGGGTGCAACTGAGTGAAGAGACGTCGGATGATTTTGCAGTTGTCACTGGTGTGAAGCAAGGCTGTGTCTTAGCTCCTGCCCTGTTTAATATATATCTTCATGCCATGATGTCTTGTGCTTTTGAATCGGCTTGTGCTTACGGTGTTCGTGTGGAGCACCGTATTGATGGTGGGTTGCTGAACATCCGTCGTTTCGGTGCGAGAACTCTAGTCTGTGAGACAACTATCCGTATGTTGCTGTTTACTGACGACTGTGCGTTGTTTTCACACAGCGCGGATGAGTTGCAGCATATGACTAGTACTCTGGCTTCGACAGCGGCTAAATCCGGACTCACCATCAACACAAGCATAACTCTCTGTCTCTTCCAGCCTTCACCGGAGGTGCAATCTTCAATATTGCCGCGAATCAGCATTGGTACTGAAGTATTGGAAACCACCTTCCGTTTCAGCTGCCTTGGGAGTGTGATGTCGACTGATCAGCAGATATACAGTGAGCTGCGTATCCGCGTGTCGAAGGCAGCGGCGGCATTCGGGAAGCTAGAGTACCGAGTGTGGAACAACCATCAGCTTACCATTGGCACGAAGCTGATGGTGTACAAATCCATGGCGCTGTTCGTTCTTTTATCTGGCAGTGAAACGTGGACGATGTACCGTCGGGATGTGCGATATCTCGAGCGGTTCCATCAGCAGTGCTTGCGACGGATTTTGCGCATTGGTTGGGGCGACAGAGTTGCTGACACGGAAGTGTTGCGACAAAGTGGAGTGTATGCAGTGGACTGCATACTTTTATTGAGACACCTGAGGTGGCTCGGTCATGTGAGCCGTATGGATTCGACGCGGATACCGAAACAACTCTTATATGGTCAGCTGAGTACTGGAAAGCGGCATGTGGGGAAACCAAAGTTACGTTACCAGGACATGATCAAAGTGAGCCTCTCACGTTCTAATCTTGATTGCAGGTCATGGGAATCGAAGGCGGTTCATCGGCGTGCATGGCGCGATCTGCTCACGAAGGCAGTTGCCAAAGTGCAGGAGAATGCCCTTATGCATGCAGAGAAGAAGCGGCAAGTGCGGAAGCAGCAAGCACCGATAGGTTGTTCTCCATCGACATCAAGCGCATGGTGCTGTAGCACATGCGGTCGCGAGTGCCTGAGTCAGGCAGGCTTAGTGAGCCATGAGGGAGGCCACTCGAGACCACTACCGAAGCGACGACGGGCCCTGCAGAGAACGTAGGTAGAACCGGCGCAGCGTCTGTAGGTACGCTGCATTCGATTTACTAACCGCGTGCTCACTTACTAAGTATTTATTTCAGGTGATGGGTTTTCAATTTTGTCCTAATGGTTCTCTTTCCCATATAAATGCCTACTTATACTCTCTTCTATACGCTTACACACGCCGCCTAAGCCACTTGCAGTTATTTCGATAACATTTTCGTGTTTGTAGCATTTCCGTAAAATAAACTTTCTGACCTCGTGAATTTACTTCGTGTTCGTTGGTAAACAGCTTATTTCATGTGCTCGTTAATTTAAGATTAATGCCACCGTTTCCTTATGCGTTACTCGATTTATTTTCTTTGTTATCTTTCTCTCAAGTGATTGGCTGTTGTTTGATATCTCCGGTGTGGCTGCGCTTGATGTGCATGTTGACAAGGTGCCTACCTGTCTATTACCCATTACCTCGTCCATACTAGCTCCAGGAGACAGTTGGTCGTTGCTGGAGGGGACGGGGTGCACGGTCCTTGTGGCCGTGCTAGGCTCGAAGAGTGGTTTCATGCACTTAGTGTGGAGCGGACTACGGTCCAACCACCGTCTTGTGTGCGCTTGATTCTCCAAATACAGCGTGCTTGTGTTTGCCTGTGAAGGAGTGTGGGCCGGCTCCGTTGATGAAACGTGGTTCCCATCCACATGCCTCCCGGTCATATTCCTTCGGGTTTACACTGGATATGGGGTGTGTGGTTGGAGCTGTGGGTGGTGCAGCGCATGCCATCCATGGTCCCTCTGTAGGCGCAGGCGTCCTGTGGCTGGCCACAGTGACAGGCAAATCCGAAACCGGATTACGCCAACCATATTTCTCGAATCGGTGTTAGCCCTTGGATTTGAATGAATGTTGCCAGTTTGTAGACGACAGCTATTAGATTGATTCCTATGTGGTTAGCGCATATCGCACGAGTATGCTTTTGAAAATCTAGACGATAACCAACGCGCCACAGGAAGCTGGAATCTTTTCTACACACCAGATCTTGGAGAACAGAGCTGTTAACTGATTGACACTTGCCTCGCCACCGTACTTGAATAACTCCGGAGGATGTCCGTATGAGCCAGTAGTCTGTAATCGCTTCGGGCGACGATGTTCATAGCAAATCTCCGGTTCGTTGGGTGGTTCTAGTGAAATGTCCTGAGGCACGCAATTAGGCATGCTTGTTAAACAGATGGAATGGGAGGCCAACTTAATTGAGGGCGGAAGTGCTCAGCCCTGCATTACATCCGCCTACACAAATTGCTGATTCGTCAACTCCGCAAATAACCTCACTGATGCCGGGTCCTCTGTGGTCCGATTGATTTGGAAAAGCTTGCGATAATTTCCAGAGAGAGCTGCCTTCTCCATCTCTGAAGCGTGCTGAGACCACCAAGTTTCGCGATCGTTACGCAAGTTCTCCTTAACTTGTTACTTGAAGTTTGGTCGCGCTTCACCGCTGTTTGAATCAGCTAAGACAGCTCAGCGACAGTCACATAGTTCCAAGGAGCGATCGGTGATCTATTCTCCTGAGGATTATTAACGTCGGTGAGTTTGGCGTATGATTGTGGTGCGTAAGCAATGGAGACAGAAACGGAAGAGAGCGACGTAGTTTTAGTTACGGAATTGATGGTTTTTCCATCGGACGAGATACTGTTGGGTTGGCCAAGCCGACGTAGGGAGTTGTCTTAGTGGACACTACCTTGAGCCGTTGGCTGGATGGCCTATCCGCAAGGCTATAGGAGCAAAGTCATGAAATCGCGCCCATTAAGAGCGCGTGACTGATTACTCAGTTCACACGCCTTTCATTTAGTCAAGTACTAAACAGGGGTCAAATCCTCGCCAACCGCAATCAAGCTTCCCATATTCACATGTCAATCAGTGTTGTGGATGCATACGTCTCACCTACAGAAGCTTGTTCACGATACATCTGTCATGGACTCACACAACTGAATGTCCCGGAAGAGTGGAATAGCCTTCGGTTTCCAATTGTGTGCAGCACTTCCAAATGATAGTGCGTTTTATTTAACGAAAAATCATTATTGATGGCGCCTATAATGGAGTCAGTAAGTTGTCATAAGAGCATGTTGGGCTTTCTCAATTTCCTTCGACCGATGAAGTCTTTTCCCTCTGTCGGCTGATTCGTTTCACAAGTCACTCCTGTGTGCAATCACTTTTCAGTCGGTTTAGCTTCCACTGTTTTTTAATCATTTTGACCGCTGTACTCTGGCTTCTCGTGTCCTCCTGATCTCGTTTGTATTCTTTCTCTCTTCTACTTTGTCCTCTAGATTCTGCCACTGACGAGGATAGGAGCGTTGTGGTGAAACCTGTGACAAACGAGGAAGAAGCTAAATTACATAAGAGCCTGGCCAAACTATCCTCACAAATTGATTCAAAGCAACATCTCCTCGCTGAGCTTCAGTATAAGGCCGCGCAGCTCGATCAGCTTCGGAAGCATTATGAGCGCCAGTTGGCTGATTTGAACAATCGGATCCGAGAGACTGAGCGCGAACGGGACACTGTATTGGCCAGCATGGGACAGTTGGAGCACATTGGTGAAGAACGTCTCAGGCGGACGCGCGAAGAGTTTGAGAAAAAGTTATCTTCGCTGCAAGTAAGCTCTGCGAAATCCACAACCCACACTGTCAGTTCCTATCCCGTAGTCCTCAACTGTGTGTTTGCGCACAGCAATCCCAAATATCCCTGTTTTCGAGCAGCAATCATTTGTGCCACGATCTAGCCTTATTCTCATATTGCAGTGCGCAACATGGGAACATTATCCCTCCGACAAACCTCATCACCAGCTTTGTATTCTTTTCTGTTTTCCACACTTTTGAAGCTCCCACTTCTCTGCGTGACCAGCAACAGAATATCTGACATCACCAGATGGACTAGCAGGGAAATTAGGCCATTCATAACCCATTTTCTGCTGCTTTAACTTTTCTCCACTTTGATGTGTTATTAAAAGATGCTAAAAAACACATGAAGTTTGGATCTTGAGATTTTGGAGTATTTATTTTGCTTTTTTATTATTATTATCTGTTGTTGTTGTTGTTTACAAGGTGTAGGCGCCTTCACCCCCGTGTGTTTGTATAGGCCATTAAGGTTTTTGCTTAGGTCCCCCTTCTCTTCCTGATATTATTCTTTCTGTAAGTCACTCTGGTTGTATGGCAGGGAAGCATCAGTTCAAGTGGCTGCTGTTGATGTTGTTGATGTCATGTGCCTTCCTGGTAATGGATTATAGCTAGAATAAAAAGCACGCATTTCAGCCATGGTTATACTGAGTGCATGATCAGTTTTTGAACGGGCATACTCATTTGTCTGCCTTCCCATTTGCTCAATACAATTTATCAAAGAAGCGTTTGGATGCTTTATACGGTATAAGTTTTTCCTTTACGAAATCAGGTTCACATTCAGATCATTGTCTCTAAGTCCGTGCCCCTTGACATAAATCTTCTTTCCTCCATAGTCTAGTTCTGATATCTTTTTGAGTTATTGAAGAAACAAGCTTAGAGAAGCAACTCTCTCTTGTAAATGTTGGTTGTTACTTTATGTTCTCTCTTCTGATGCTTCACCCTCCATGTTGACTGCAACTACTGCTCCATGAGCTAAGCTAGCCTCAGCGTCCCTGAGCAACTGCTTCCTTGACGGATCATCAAGGAATCCTGCATCACTTCTTTGATATTATCTTCATCAGTGTTTTGTCCACCACCCGAAAGCGTAATGTAACTATTGTCTTCCAGGACTCTGTCAGCTTCTTCTTTCACGGTGATAATATATTATATAGAATGTACTTTACGTTTCCCTTTGGAGAAAAATGATTCGGTTAGCTGGAGTATAGTCAAAATATAGATTTAATGAAGAAAACGACATTAAAAATGAAAATGTAAATACAGTTCAAAATCTCTCACACTGCGAGAGCTTTGTATATCAGAATGTTTATAAGATACAAGCATATTTTCAATCGTTTTGCCACTAATTTAGTTATCCGAAGCTACATGTGACGATATCATTTGTTGCTGGGACTCACAGTCTGTGTG